CTTCTGAGATTCTCAAATCACAACCATTTCTGTCTAATAAAATGGAATTTAGGAATCATATACTATGCATCTACACTTAGATGCATAGAAACTGTTTATGTTAGTCCTGGAAAAAATAAAAAACTATTTCTAACCCGCCTTAACAGCCACACATCCTGCTGATAAATAAATGAACACATTACCCCCACAGGAGACTCCAATATTTCTGATGATCCTGGAGTATGTTGTACACATGCAAGAGACATTGGTCCCAAGCAAGCACAAACATCATTATTTCTAAGCCAGCAACATTCTCCTCAGCTTTACTGAGTAAGTCTGTCATGGAAGGTTTTGTGTTAGGGTGTCAGTTCTGAATTGGATTGTTTATACATATATATATATATATTCAGTTATTATAAGCATTGCTTTATTAACTGTAGCACAATAACCCTTCATCCTATGAGAATTTAAAAGGTGCTTTAAGAGAAGCCGACCTTCAATAACTTATCTACTCACAGTAATATCAAAAGACCCTCAACCAAACACACTTTATTGATATTTCCACAGTCTTTCTTTATACAGACATGGAAAAACAGGCGCTAATACTCATTCACTATTTCAAGATTGGAGATAACATTAGCACCCAGCCTTCCCAACCTACACTTCTATCTTAAGAGACTGTAAACTTACTTGAAATATGTCTAATAATAAGTTATCACCACAAGCAAAACTCTTTGCTGCAATTTCTTCATTGAATATTATACTTTTTAAAGAGAAGAGATAATGTATTTATTTGAAATAATGTGATGGGGTGTGAAAGAAGTGCAATTAGAGTTGCCAAAAAATTTAGGATTTGGTAGGCATAGCCAAAAATAACCATCAGATCAAAACAGTACTTTTGGCAGTACTCAGAATTTTTAGCTTTGTATAAAATTATGCTCCGTTACTATATGCAAATAAAAACAAAATTTTGTTGAATGTGTTTGCACACAAAAAGACACATTTCTTTATTACTACAAAGTACAATAATGTTTTTCGCACACAGTGCACAAGCTAAACTATTTTCCTAATGCCTTACCCACATCCCTCTAAACCTATTGAAAAGGTTGCCCCTGGCTTCATCAGGGGCCGGAATCTCACTCTTTGATGCTACAGCTCTGAGTTCAGGGTACTATGAATCCTAAAAGTCATGCTGTGTTTCCAGGTACTTTAAAACCATAAATCCATATTTAATTAGAAGTGCATGAAATGCCGTAGAAGATAGAATCTCTCTTCTAAAAATGAAATAAAAAATTGGGCCTTTAGCTTTGTTCTCTGACTCTGGGCCATAATTTAATTAAAACTGCATATCATATGCTAAAAATCTCATTGACAAGTCTAAGTTGAGGAATTGAGATTCCTTGTGGTACCTCAATCTGTGCTTTCTATTTTGCTGTCGTATTGTTCCATATTCTTATCCTGTCCCCCACCCCCTGCATCATGCTCTCCTTCCTTTTTTGTTTCTCATTAACAAAGTGAATTCCTTTGAGATTTAATGATGTAGTGTTGAAGTTTGAACACTGGCATCTTACTGTCTTAATGGATATCTTACTTGACAGCTCTGTGAATTTTAGCTCTCTTCTTTAATAGCATATATTTGTGGGAAAAAGCTGGCATCGAATTTAAGTGGAGGGAGCTCAGGCAGGTTTGAAATGGAAACCTAGCTAAAGTAGCTATGATTTCTTCCTACTGCATTAGAAACTGGAGTAAGCTTGAGACATTAAAAAGAAAACAGTGTATCAACGATGTAACTGGAAAGTCTGTCCTTTATATCAAACACCACAGCATGATATTCATATTTTATTATATAAATTTGTTATTTCTTTTTACAGCAAAGTTATGGACAATGATAACACCACAGTAGATCTTTCGTTTGTCTCTGGGAGCTTCTGTGTTAACATAGGGAAACGTTTGTCCTTGAAACCATGGAATAGCTTTCGTATTTTCGCAGTGATAGTCTGGGAAGTGCATTATCATTAAAAATATTGCAGTTCACAAACAATTGTAAGTGCAATATCATTCCCAGTCCCTAGGACGGAGAGTAATGGTGGCATTTCAGACCTTTCTCAATCCAGAGGGATCATCTTAGATAGCACAAAACAGTAAATGTTTGTGATCACAAGCTATTTAAAGTACCTACTGTGAGTTTTCAGTGTTGGCATGCATTCATATATCAGCCATTGAGTGGGAATATGGATATGACAGAAGGCTGTTCATTGACAGGAGACAACTGGAAAGCTTGTACTATATCTACCTATACTATGTAAACTGAAGTTATTAATCTATCTGGAAAAGTAAAATACAACTTCCCTTATTAAGAAATATTATTCTTATATAAACGTGATGTTGTCATAGTCTTAATTTACATTAAATTGGCTGATGATTTGGAACTGGTCTGTAGAGAAGTAAATTCACATGGATTTTCTGCATAATTAGATCTACAGTGTCTCTCAGACACTGGACTCATGTGTATCGTTTGCAGGAGATATCTCAATATAAGTATTTCACAGCATATTTCCTCCTCACAGCTGTACTTCTAAAGCAGCACCCACAACTTCTGTTCTTGAAAAATTGCATTTTCTTTCCAATGGCTGAATTCTGCAAGTAGGAAAATTCATCTCTACCCACTCCCTCTCCCCTCTCAATTTTCAGACAGAATCCAAAGCCTGATGATACCAATGAAAATCCATTCATTGACTCATAGGGCTTTTAACCGTGCAACATCTTATACAGTCCCTGGTCACTGTGCTCCTCACACAGGAGACCAGCCAGATTAGGTGTTCAGGATTCATGGCATTCAAAAATAACCCAATGGATAAATCAGGAAGCAGATCCCACAATCCTTTCGGTATGTTTTCAGTTAAAGGCTTGCTCAAATTCATATACATATCTACTCACAGAAATTATGCTGTAGTGAACTCTATGACAAAAATTCTAAAACAACACTGGAGTGTTTCTTACAAGAATTAATGAGCTGAAAGAACTGATGTAAAGACTGGAAAAAGCAGAAGCAGAATCTGTCCCTGTTAACTAAAATCAGGGAAGGATTTGAGTTGAAGAGAAAAAGAAGAAAAGTATTTTTTCTACTGGAATAACCTCTGGGAACATAGCAAAAAAGGTTTGCATTTTTTGAGGTAGTTAGGTGTTTAAAGGTAAAAAAAAGACACCAATAAGATGGATTTTTGTGAATACCACAGGATTAAGGGGTAAGAAACAAGCAAGGGACTATGAGACAGTCTCACGAAGCATGAAACTAAACAATTTACAACAGCAGGGGGATGGGGCCTTGCTTCTATGTGACAGTTTTCATCTGCTTAACAATTCACTTTCTGCTGATAATTATATCATTATTTGGAGTTCTAGGTTTGGCTTATTTTGTAATAAAATCCATCATGTGACAAGTAAAAACCACTTTTGTTTTAAATTAATTACAATGCAAGAAGAACCTCACATGTTTCTGTTTCAATAATTCTATTTTCAAAACCAATAAACAAAAAAAATCACCCTTATTATTATTGTTATACAGTATGTGATTCTCATGTTTCACCACTACTGTCAGTGTATTCTAACATAATATTTTTCTGGGTTTTAGTTTTGATTCCATGGTATTTTTAATAACGAGCTTATCATGCCTTTTTTTTTTCATTGTACTATTTTTCTTGTGATGTTCTCCCTCCACCTGTGTAAGATGCATATTTGCCTCCTCTATATGAGGAATTGAAATGACTGGTGTAGACTTGACATCTGTTTATTTCTGTGTGAGAAATCATCTCCTGCCCTTAGAATTTGATTAAAAATATTTGCTCAGGCACACGTTCCACTCAACAGAAGGATCCTGGATTTCTAGTGACTGTGAAATGTGGGATACAGTGCCTTGAGAATGTTGCATTTTCATACATGGTCATTGAAAATGTCTAACTTTTAGAATGAAGCTCAGAATATCATAAGTCTAAGGACATAGGTCTAGTGGAAAAAATTGCAATGCACATTCCCCATCTTCAGCAAATGCCTAACAAGGAGAGGTTGGAGAGTTAAAGAGCTGAGATTCAATTCCCTGCTTAGCTTTTCCCTGTGACTCTGGACATGCTGCTTAGGTATCCATAATTGATAATAGAGGCTTGTTTCCAACCAAACGTTAGCTTGGCTACCATGTAAAAGGGGATCTCCTTATGCTGTAGGATGTGGAAAATGTAAATATCTGCAAAATTCTGAGATGATGAGACACAAAGGCCACTGAGAATGAAGAGAGAAAAGGACAGAGAAAGGGAAGATATACCAGTTTATTACTTTCTATAGTAATGATACTTGTCAAACATTCCTCAATGTCTGAGATTTCTGGTGTTGTTTGTTGTTTTTTTTTTACTATCATCAGATGAGTGAATATTACCTTTATGCAAAATGAGCCAAGATTACAATTTTTTTTTCAAATTAAAAATAACCTCTTAATTTTCAACTTGTGTTAAAGGAACCTTTTTCAAGAGTTCTCTACTCTCTTGCCATATAATCGAAGTGAAGAAATGAAAAAGTACCCAAGTACGTCAATCATGCCAAAGTCAAGGAAATCAAGATTTGGCCTTCTACTTTCATTTGATAGAAAAACTGTCACAACTGTCTCCCAAATAAATTTTATAGAAGAATAAAGAAAACTGGACTTCAGTTTAGTTTATGTTCCTCTCAGGAGGTGTCTTTACTGATACCGTCTGTGCTCTGCACTCACGGGGAGCAATGTGACTTTGTTTTTCATAGTGATTTACTCCCTTCTAGTCCAGTGTTCAGCCACTTGGTATTTCTGTATAATCAGAAGTTCTACTTAGCTTTACTTAACAAGTGAGAAGCAGAACTGGCACACAGACTCTCAGTAGTCTGTAGTGTATTAATCAGTACAATTCTCCCAGTTTTAAGCAGACAGTTATGCTATTTATTATAGCAAAGTAAGGAAGAATTAGTAAAAATGGGGCAATGCTTGTAATTCTTCTGCATATATCTAAAATATTTCTTTGTGTGAACTCACTTTCATCACTTAATATTTGTGTCTCAGTTATTTGCCTTTTCTTTGACTGTTTTAGAACGAGGGCTTTTCTGTTCTTGTCTTCACAGCTCATAACTTTTATTACTAGGATCAACTCTCTTTCCTTCTCACCACATTTTTAAGAAACCAGATTTTTATGATGTGGTAAGTATTACTGAGCACAGTATAAGTGAAGTCTTGCCAGAGATTTCATTACTACTTCCTTACGTTTACATCCTACATTTATAGCACTATGTTGGCTTTTAAATTTATTCCTAAAGTTCTCTAGACATTTATGGACAGAAGACCACTATTATATCAAAATTCTTGAGAACACGCTTTCCTCTGCTTCATTTCTACGCTCTCCTTGGCTGTATTTATAAAAAAAGTGTATTTTAGGGGCATTTTTATTGTGATTTAGAGAAAATTTTTTCCGCATTTACAAACTTATATTCAAGGAATTGAGCAAGGTCACAAGGTGTTTTTCTTTCCTTATTTTTTTCTCTAAGGTATTATTATGTAGAGAAACCATGGTAAGGAATTACCATCTTATCTGATATACAAGTTTGTCCTACACTGAGTACCTGATAAAATGAACCAAGTACGTCATCAGAAGACAGATGATTTTGTGGCTAAGGCTCAACCCCCATACACTGAACTTTATAGCACTTTTACAGGCTTCCTGTGGGCTTGTATATATTGAAGAAAATGTTGTGTCATGAAGAAATCCTTGGGTTAGTGCCAAACCAAGGCTGCATGTCCACGATGAATAGTGCAGTGCTGGAAAGACATATTAGCTTGAGACTTAAAAGCAATACAGTTGTACTAGCCCGGAGATAATGAGCTTCTCAGCAAGGTGTATTAGCTGTAATACAGCACTGATGGAAATATCAACTCCCAGTTTTGAAGATAGCCTGGTTGTGGGTCCACCCAACTCAAGACAGCTTTGAATATTCCTTGTTCTGCCAGAGGAATATTTTTTCAGGGACTTTCAGCAAGTGATTTCACTCAGTTTCTGTTACTTTGCTTCCTATTACTCTTCCACAATATTATTATTTTAGAAAATTTATGGAAATTTGTTGCTCTCTGCAGCTGATCTATCTGGAAATCCCTTTCTTTCTATGTATTAGAATAGGGCCTTGAGTTATAGAATCTGAACATCACTTTGAAACAAATAATAAACAACAATCAAAATGGTCAGAGGCTGTGGATAAGTAAAGACTGTATAGCACTGTGAGTCAGTGGTCAAAATAGCACTGGTAGTCAGTAAACCACCAGAAAACAGAAAGCAAACAGAAGAAAATGTATGTGTTTTTAAATAGATGTTTGCCCACTCATGCAAGACAGGAAACAAAACAATATGATGAAAAATAAAAGCAATAAGTGAACATTGTAGTTTATTTTAGTTTTTATTTTGTTAACAACACAAATCCCCACGTTATTGCAAAACTTATGTTATTAAATGGGGTTTTTTTCCAGAGGTTAGATAATTTTTTAATTATAACAGGCTGAGAAACTCTACTCAGGCTATGCTTTAATTAAGAAAGGCACCACAGAATATCTTTCCAGAAAAAAAATGGGGATAACCAAGATAGTTTCTTTGTAATCTAGACTAACTTCCAGACAAAACCTGTTATAAATTTTTAGCCCTTTACAAGCTTCAGAGAACCTATAAAAAAGCTCATCTAAAAACTCTTTTGGAATAATCATCATCACCATCATCATCATCATTCAAAAATACATATTGTATGTTTCTAATATAATAATATAATAATAATAATATTTAATTTATAAAAAAATAACAATACCTCTCTTTACAGAAGCCTGTGTAGTGTATCTAGTTCACCTTAGAGAAGGAGTCCCTGGTCTTACCTGGCCTTTTTTTTTTCTTTGACACAGCTATTTCACATTTGTCCATTGTAGTGCAGGGGCAGATGTACCTCAAAGGTCTTTTCAAGACTACTTAGTAACCAGCAATGGTTAAAGCCTCAGTGGAGTACACAGAGCTCTGCTAAATGTTTCTTTTTTTACCCCAGGATAGCCTGTTTGGAATGAAATATAACAGGCTGACACAGCTGAACACCAAGAGACCACTTTGCTACTGTAGAATATGATTAGTTTATTATCATTCAACAAAGGCAGCTGCCTCAATGCAAACCACTGCCACCCCCCCCCCCCACACCCCAATTTGCCCAGGAGGGCTGAACTGTGAGAACTTCACTGAAATCAGTGTAAGGCACTAGAAGCTCACACCCTGTGTGTCATTCAAGGCTTGTCTCTCCATCAGTGTAATAAATACCTCATGAGAAGTGTTCTGGGGCTCTGGTCCAGTACTAACTCAGAAAGCATGACAAATCCTGAGTCACTAACGCCACTTCTTTTAGTACATGAGTATTTAGGCATTGCCTTTTCCCTGCAAGTCTCCCTTCTGAGTATAGCTCAAGTCAAACTATTTAAAGTTAAAAGATTGGAGACCAGCCTTGCTTTTACTATATTTCCTCTAAAGGTTTCTATTCTCTGTGTTTTAGTTGTGCTAGTTTTTGTTCATGCAATGAAATAATGTTTCATCTTTCTTTTTTTTTCCTAAAATACACCAAAATAAACACTGAAATGTATAAAACAACCCTATGTGGTTAAGGGAAACCATACTCTTACCTACTATGGTTAGAACTTAAAAAGGGGAAAATTAATTTCAGTGCACTAGAACCGATGCTTAGAGATTTATACTGTGGTCTGACAGACAGCTACACACAAACCACGCCATTATCATCCCAGCTAAGCAAAGCATTTGGACTTTTCATGGCAGAACAGCAATAGTAATTGATTGCAGGTGTTTCAGGTAGTGAGCAGCAGTGGGATACTTCGCTCCTTCCTCCTGCCTCAGACAGTACCACGTCAGCAGGAGGATGCATTGGGCTGGTCTGTTTGTCCAGGTACTGAACTCATGACATGTCTGGAAAACAGCTAACACAGAACTTGTGTTAGAGTCTTGTTTTCACTAATATTTCTTCTTATTTCTTCTTATTTCTTATAAAGTTTGTGAATTTCTTTTCCTTACTTAATGAGAGTCCCCTCTATTTAGGAAGATGCAAATAAAGGTTTAGATTTGTAAAATGTAGAAGGTGTTGAGAATTCTTGGGCACCTGAAGGAAAGGGAAAAGGAAAGGGAAAGAGGGAGTATTTGGCCAGGACTGGCACAGGTGGGGTGAGAGGAAATTGTAATGGAGAATGAACTTTCACCAAACATAAAGTGCATAAAGTCCACTTGATTCTTTGCCCATATGCTTGTTCCTACATGGAATAAAAGACCTGATGCTTTTGGTTTGTTTAAGAAATATAACTGACTTTATTTAGGGATTTCTGGATTAAGGAAAGTGGCTGGGAGGCAGCATGGAAACTTGAATGAGATAGAAGTCAAAGGGAGTGGTAAGTTCCTCCTAAAACCAACAGGGATTTTACTTACTAATTTTCATGGAACTTGAGGAGGACTTCAAGGATTGAAGGATCCCAAAAGTAAAGGTGAAGAAAGGGAATGGAGTCCCAGTAGTGCTTGATGGTGAAAGGGAAAATTGACAACTTGGGCAGAAACATTTGGAAAGGAGAATGATATGGTCTGGCCTTGTGAGGGAACTATGATTACAGAGTGTTTTATCTGGGACACTTAGGGAAGCTGTAGTTAGTAAATTGTTACCATGTGACAGAGTGAACAGAGAGAAAGAAGGAGGATTCTGCAGACTGGAAATACTTCATTCTTGCACATTTGTATTTCGTAGCTTATTCCACTTGGATATTAGCAAGTTTGTACTGGATATAGAATGGTTACTCATTATTTGCATTGTGTCTAGACCTGAGAGCCTTCAGCAGCATACCAGACAAAGCTGTCCTCCAACCTACACCTTTATATGGTTGTGTTGTTTCGGGGTTTCCAAGGACTCATAAGGTGCACATACTCCTGCAGTCACCACGATTCTTTGCAGCTTGGCAGGGAGAGGTCTCCATTCCTGCATTTCCTAACCATGTCTCTGAGTGAATGTCCCTGGAGGAGATATGAATACAGAAGCTGTTTTGCTTTCTCTGTTTCTGGGAAGATGAAGCTCTGATTCTCTGTGACTCCCAGCTCTAGGCGTAACACCAAAACTAGGCTGAATTGACTAACATACAAGGTTGAGCCCTTAGTCACAAGACTCAGAGCAAAAGGTTGTAAGCAAGATAAATATATTGCAAAATTATAGCTCCTGCTTTAACAGCAGATCTCTTGCTTAGCTGGTTCAGTGTCCCTCACCAGCATGGCTATGGCCAGTCATGACTACAAAGGCCAGGGACCCAGACTGAGCTACATCTGCCAGGTGGATCCTATGGTCTCCAGAGCAACTCCTATTGCAAAAACTCCCATTTACTTTTCCTTGGAGTTATAATTTAGGTACAGATGCCCATGAAATTTTCTCTAGGTTTCATAACTATTCAGTCACGGGAGGAGTAAACTATGTGAATGCCATTCAGAATTCTTTTAGGGATTAGTACCACAAGTGCTCTTGTTCTTAGTTATGAGTCTTTGCAAACCCAATTGAGGCCACTAATAAACATTAATTACATGTTATACAAGATAGTAGTTTTGCATATTTTATGGTGCTGTGGATTTTGGGTGCACTCACAACTCTCCTTAGAGACTACAAAATATCTAACCTAGTAACAGATGATGAGGGGTGAATTGACATACACAGTTGTATTAGCTCAGGCTTTAGCACCATGACAGAAAGGTGGTCACTGGCATTCCCCACCGGATCAGTGTTTAATGTTTAAATGCCAATGCAGGAAACTCTGGTAGAATTCAGAGACTTCCAGTCCTCAATGTCCTGACAGTTTTTACACCACCCCTGCTGAATTCTGATGACATGGCTGCCAGTTTTTCATCTGTCAAAATTGCTATCAACATCAAATTTGTTGGTCCCTAATATTTAAAATTGTAAGGTAAGTTTAACTTTAATGAAAGATTTAGCCAGTGCTTGTTGCATTTATCTCATCTGTTGTGCAAGACACTTCAGAAAGAAACTCTGTCAAAAGACTTAAAAATCAGATTATAGAAAATTAGTACCCAAGTTGTTTGATTGATAAATTTCCAAACTCTATTTTATGTTGGACTTGGGGAATTGTCTTGACTTACTGAAATCAAATAAAGGTGGAGGACCTGTTGGAATCTTTGATAATACTGCTAGCAAGTGAATTTCATTGCTATAGCTGCAGAAAGCAAATAAACACTGCAGAAATGTGGATGGCAAGAATAAAGAACCTGAAAAATATTCCATAACTTATCGCCTGAAGTAGATTAACAGCTCAACTGTTTTAGGAAAAAAAGGACAAGTTGTTAAAAATAAATCATTAATGTAACTTTCATGATAACTATAAATATACTTTTGTAACCCATAACTTACGGTGCTTTGACTTTGCTGCATTCCCACATCCTGTATATCTACCACTCTCTCCTTTACTGTTCATATAAAGAAATAAGTTGTGTTACTGACAATTTTCTTTATCTTCAATAAAAGCTTGAAATCAGAAACTCAGTTTACAATAAGACGTTTTAATTAATGATAACGAAACTGAACATCATTCCAGTGGGAAAATATTAAATAAATATATTATTCTCCTCAAATAAGTAATGTATTACAAAGAAACACCATAAAGTCTTGGTTGTTTACATTCCTCAAATATTTGAAAACTGAAAAAAAACACATTTTCTTGACTAAAGAACTCATGGACCATTCCTAAGGAAACAAAGATGTACTCTGAACAATGCTAAATCTGTTGTAGCTAATAAGTTAGACTTTAGATTAATTTAGTTGATCTCTGTTTTCCCTCAACTTTTATTGATTCCACTTGGACCGATAGGAATGAGAAGTCCCATCAATACTCGTGTGCAGTTTATCTATGGCCTATACAGAATAAAATGTGCCTGTGTCACCACAGGTGTTACAAGAGAGAGAAAAAAATAAATATTGTAAACTAAGGAATAAAAGGCTAATTTCCTTTCCTCCATGCCTCCTCTTTAGTAATTCTTACTGAGAACAACACATTAGCACAACTTTAATATCAAGTTGAATATAAGGAGCAGACAAATTATGGCCTCAACTCAGCAAGGGAACTGC